CCGTTTTTTTAATGAACCTGTTTTATTTGGCATCTTCAATTTCACTTTCTGCTTTGACATCAATGGTCAAACCCACTTGTTTCTACTGATGTAAGTCAAGTTCTTTCATTTCTTATGATTAACACTATTCTGGGTCTTGTCTGTTTCAGCGGCAAGAGGATATCTAGTCAGGAAACAAAGAAAACAGATTGTTAACATGAAAAACATGGCGGTAACGACCATTCAGACTTCTGATCAGGAATTTGACTACAAGAAAAACTTTGAAAATAAAAGGTATCATGATGTTCATTTGTGCACCCTGTGACATACTGCTTTTTCAAATCTGTAAAGTCCTAAAATAATGTTCACAATCTTTCTCACACATAGCCAGGTTCCTGATACTAACACATCAAATGTCAGCAAACACCCATGGGCCACTTTTGTGTTCTGTGTCCTATTTAAGAGTCTGTTGACATCTCGCACTTTCCTTCTCAAAGTTTTTCTTCCTTGACGTCTCCGAGACTGCTTTCTACAATTCTGCTTCCAATTCTGAGCGTCCTTAGTTAATATCCCCTCCTCTCTCCACATTTAAATCCTCTTCCACATCTGAATGTGTCCCTGGGCCTTCTCACTCATTCCCGTGGCTTTCGTAGCCAAGACGCCCTTGGCTTCTAAGTCAGCATCACCAGCTGCCTTTCTTCTTCTGAGCCCTCGTGTCTGTACCTCCAAGAGCGCATCAGCAAACCTGCTTGCGTTCATTGGTTCAGTAGGCTGTATGCTAGGCCTGGGACACAGAGACAAATGAAACAAAATCCCTGCACTTCAATCTCTCACAGTATTATGAGGGAAAATATGACCAATAAATACATGATTGTAGTAAAATGGGTTAACTCTGCTGTAAAAATATGCAGTGGGTGCAGTGTAGACAAGGAGGAGGGAACCCTGCCTTGGTCGGTGGTGATCAGGGAAAGGGAAAAATATCTAGATTTTGGCTAAGTGGTGAAACTCAGATTGATCCAAAGATGGATAAGTGGTTGTCCCGGGAGATAAAGATCGTTCTAGCCCCCACCCCAGGCCCCTGGTCTTTAACATCAGGACTGGCCATGGAAAGAGTGAGAGAATGGGATGGAAGAGGAGATGGCTTCCTTCTCTCCCCACACACCCACGTCTAACATTCTCTTCACCCACCGCTGCTGTTCCCTCGCGCCGGCAGTGGGAGCGCAGATGGTCTCATGGACGCCTTCTCTGCCATCCCTTCTCCTCCCTGACACCCACACTCTTCCTGTGTCACCCAGGCCAACCTCATTTCCTTACGTGACACACATGAATGTTTATCTGAAACATAGAGGCATTTGGTGTTTTCAGTTTTTTACGTATTCAGAGACCTACATCTATACTCTTTGTCTTTTTCCTGCAAGGATAAAAATGATTTGTTTCTCTCTGTTACTGGCTATAAAACAGGCCAGCAAACTTCAGAAACATCATAGGCCCACCTCAGGAGCAGGAGGGTGGATGTCACCTGTGACTCCTATACTTCAGGAGTCTGACAGAAATATGGAAGAAAGATGGACTAATTTTACTACCTCTAGAAATGACTATTTGTAGAATTTAAATTACTACTTGTAGCTGTTACATTTAATAAGGATGTCTGATGTTCAGTTAGATACTAATTTGCTACCATCTTTCTTCTGAGGGTACCAGGAATTAGCTTCCAATATGGCAGATACATATTAAGCATCTACTACATACAAGATCCAATTTAGGGCCCACGGATGCAATAACAAACTGTCCCTACATGTAGGGATGGGGAATTTGACATTTGTTGGACCATCATAGGAGGTGGACCACAAAGTCAGACGTAAAAGAAGTATAAGCAGAGAGTTGAGGAAGCTCAGAAGAAGGAGGGAGGAAGGCTGGGGAGGACAAAGTCAAGAGAGCCTGACACAGGCCCCTTCTTGAGATCTGCAGGCTGGTGCTCTCAGCCCTCCACAACTTCTGACTCTTCCTTTTCCCCCAGTGTCCTGCGGCCCTTGTTGTCACTTTACCCATCACCGATAAAGTCCTTAACCTGTGACCTAGAAAAGCACAGTCGGGAGCTGGAGAAAGGTCCAGTCCTGCAGGCCTCCCCAGCACCTGTCAGGAGAGATCGCCAGTCCCTCCTGGGCTGGAACTCTGCAAGGCTGATCCTCAGAAGCATCATTGCACATGGTCTGTAGGTCTTCCAAGTGCTGTGCTAGCCTCAAGCACAGGGTGGAGTGTCCTGTAGCATAATTCCAGACATGTAACCGACATGAGGTCTGCAGCAGTGTATACAACAAGGTTTTACCAGCTAAATGCATTTAAAGTATCAAAAGTAACTTATAAATGGATTTTTTTGGAATGTAGTTGGTTAGAGACTACATGCATATCTTGTCTTATTAGTTGTAACTTGAATAAATATAAGCATTTTCAAGGGGGTACTATGGAAGAATTCAAAATACTATTAATAGCATAGCTACTCATCAAAATTGTGGGTGTTTTCGGTTCCCTACATAGTTTTCTAACTGATCCTGGCAGGATTCTCTTTTGCCTCCTGTGTGAACCAAAAATGTCACAGTAGGTCTATGCAGTGGCCAATAGAATTAGAAAAATGGAGCCCTAGTAGCTTTTTCCAGGTTTGGCTCAAAGAAGAGTCCTTCTTCACAAACAGATTGCAAAAGACCCAAACTCCCACATGGTTTTCCGGGTCAGGATGAAAAGTTTTGGGCATCAGCCCCCCCAGATAGCAGTGAGAGGCGGTGGCATGTCAGGGTGTCAGGTTATGACATTTTCACTCCGCCTTAATGTCCTTTCCTTGGCTGTGTTGCTCTCGTGAGAGTTTTGCCTTGGCTGGAAAAAAAAAATGTCTAGAGAAGACATTATCTTCAAGTTAAAGGGAAATCATTTTGGAACAATATTAACAAAGTAACAGCTGTGAAATTTTGGCCAACATATCACATGATCATGAACTGCAGCCAGGATATTACTTTTCCTTTAATTTTACAAGTATCTCCTGTGATAAGTAAACTTAGTGCTTATTAAAGTACCGTATGTCAGCCCGGTGAATATACCCTGTTTACTGGTCTCAAAACTAGGTGTATTTTCTACAACATCTCATCACTACAGGTACTTTGTTTTGAAAAGGACATGTTTTGAAAGGATTAAATTCCCAGAATTTCAATATCTCATTAAATGAAAATATGGTTTTTCATATGCTAGGATATTTCTCACTCTAAGTTGAATCTGGTTTTCCCATCATTTGGGTCCCCCCACAGTTGTCACTAGAGAGAACATCTGGGGAAGAACTTGATTAATGTGGCTTGCTAACTTTTCTTTTGAGCTTTCTTTGTTCTGGCTTTTCTCCCACCATTACGTAGCATGTAACTATTGCCAAAAGAAATAATAAGTTCTAGTTTAGTACCATATATTCAGATACAGTATGTTTTACACAGGGAATCCGTTGGGAGGAAACAAACAGAAAATGCAATCTCTACTAATGAAAGAGTCATCCCACCTCCAAATAATAAAGGGAGCCCCGCTGTAAAGAAGAATGCTACTTTCGCAGCTGAAGAGGAAGCCACTGATGCTGTTGAGAGTAACAACAGAGGATACCAAACTCTGAAAAAAATCAACAATGTGTGTGGAGAAGAGACTAAGCAAGAATTGTACCTTGCGAGGGACCCTTGGGAAGAAGTAAGTCCCACACAGAAGTCTATCAAAGACCTGGAGGAGAAGAGTAAGCTAAGGAAAGCAGAGACAGAGGAGGCTGGGACCCAGAGTTATTACCAGAGGTACACAGAGGAGAAAAACTTTGAAGGGTCAAAGGCAGCATATCTAGAAAGGAAGGGTGTATCCAAAAGGCCAAGCTACCCAGGACCTTGTTTAGCTGAGAATGAGACTTCCTTTAAAAAGACTTTGGAACCTAGTCTCAGCCAAAGGTCAGTTGACCAAAATGCAAATAGCAAAGAAAAGGAAAAGAAGACCTCTGTGGTTACCCAGAGCGCACCGATATGCAGGCAGGAGAGAGGCCATCTGAGACGTGGGATTGACAAGGAGAGGGAAGTTGAACCGGTAGTTCAGGCCAAGGAAGAAGATCAAGCAGCCGTGTTCATTCAGAGCAAATTCCGGGGTTACAAGACGAGGCAGCAATTAAAGAAGGACAGGGTGTCGTCTTCTTTTAAGAATCAAAAGATCGTTGCAACACCAACAGAAGGAGCAAGAAACACTCACAATGTGTATCCTTATCCCACAAAACGTGAGGAAACCGATAATATCAAGATGAAGGATGACAAAGACTCAAAAGCAATTTTAGAAAAAGAAGCATGTGATTTGGCAATTTTTTCTAAACAGGTATGTGAATAAATGAATTTATTTACTGTTTATTTACTAAAAAAATTTCTGGGCACTACATGATAACTGAATTGAACAAATAATGATAATTAATAACTGGTAGATTGTTCCATCTATGTTTATGAGACTACAAACCTTTTTAATAAAATATCTTAAGGATTGTGCTATTAAATAGCCATGAACTTTTAACCCAATTTACTATGATAAAAATGGTATAAAATATGATAGAAACCTCACGCAGTAAGGATACTAGGTTTGTACAGCTTACTGAAATGCTGGGGTTTGACAGTGCGAAGTTTGATGTATCTGTGAGATCTTTAATTAGAGCTACACAAATTTTCGTTTGAAGTTTTCTAATTCCCCTAAAGTCTATGATTTCTCTCTTACTCAAATTTAAGTTGAGAAGACATAATTTGGCCTCAATTTAGATATGTAGCCATATTTGTCATATATGCAATGAAAGTGAAAGTCTACATGTTATATCATCACAACCATGGACAATAAGGAGTCGGAAAGAAAAACCACAGAGAAAAATTTGCTCTTGGATAACGCCTTGTGCCAGTAGTAGGCATGTTTCCTCTGTGTCTACCGCAGGAAGCAGTAGGTTTTAGGGCCTCTTGTGGGTATGCCTGTACCACCGATAAATTAGTACTAAATTAGAAGGATCACGGGAACCAACTTCTATAAATGCCAATTCCATTTCTTCCTTTCTCTTTAGGTATTTGACCTTAAGAAAAATCATGTTATGTGCCAACACTGTTATTTTCTCCTGTGTAAAATAAAGCTTTAACTAGATGACCTCTAAAATACATGAATTACCAGAGTAGTCAGTGGCGTATACTAATACAAGAAATACAAGTAATAGAAGAGATATCAAAGAAGGATCGTCTGATACCCTGCGTCCCTAACCTCTGCTTTTTGTCTCTGACGGTGGCTGAGCCTATGAGAAAGCACAATAACTACCCTTGGACCCCTCCTTAGTGTTAGAGGTGTGGCCGGGACATCTCCAACTTCCAGCTGTCAGTAGCCATCTGCCATTGATTAATTTACCCAGCCCCTTCCTGTTCTTTTTTTTTTTTTTTAAGCATGTGTAAATAGTGAGTTTAACATACATACAGTCCTTCCTTTCCCTGGTGCATAAATTTTCTCACTCCAAATACCAAATCGGGGATTAGAACCCAGACCTGCTATGCAACCGAGACACTGCGGAGATGTTGCGGAGATGTAGAATTACAAAGTCCCCCACCTAGAGCTGGCTAACAACACCACGGGAGTGGATTCAACACTTCTCAGGGATAAAACTAGAGGCAGAAAAGCAGGAGCCCCACACTCTAGCTGGCAGGACAGCCATGTCACCAGAGCTGGGATGCAGAAGAGACAGAGGTTGAAGGTAGGAAGAGAGGACCCATATGAGAGGAGCCCTGAAGTCAGGCTCTCTGGGGGGCTGAGGTAGGAGAATCACTTGAGCTCCGGAGTTTGAGACCAGCCTCAGCAAGAGTGACACCCCGTCTCTACTAAAAATAGAAAAATTAGCCGGGCGTTGTGGCACGCACCTGTAGTCCCAGCTACTCGGGAGGCTGAGGCAGGAGGATCTCTTGAGCCCAGGAGTTAGAGGTTGCTGTGAGCTATGATGATGTCACTACACTCTACCCAGGGTGACAGAGTGAGACTATGTTTAAAAAAAAAAAAAAAGACTGGAAAGAGAATGAGGGGTTTAACACAATCAAAGACAGCAGAGGAGTCTTCAGGTAGACACAGCAGAAGGGCGTGGAAGCCAGCTCTCAAAAACCCGGGAAGGGGTTGATCAGGATAGAATTCTGGGGGTGGCATGATGTGTCTGGCAGTTTTTAATGAAAAATGTGAGATGGCAAAGTGGCACGCACGGGAGGTTATGTCAAATGAGGGCTTTACCTCAGACCCAGGTTCGAGTCCCCAGGGGTGTTAGGAGTTGATCAGCCCCTGCGTGCCTGAGGAGCTCTCTGCATCCTTTTCCTTGATTTATTCTGACACATGACCTTCTTTTTAGATATCAAAGTTATCTGAAGAATATTTCATTCTGCAGAAAAAATTGAATGAAATGATCTTGTCACAGCAACTGAAGCCACTTTATGTGGGTGTCTCTCCCCATAAGCCAATTAATAGACGGCTTTCTTCTCAGCAATACCTCTCAGGTAAAACCAGTAGTGTTAGAACTTCCTGAAGGGGAAGGAAATGCCAGATACTTTCTTTGTTTATTAGTTTCCCACCTTTATTCTTTGGCAGATTTGAGGTGCCTGTGCTCTGTCTTGGGGAAAACCTTTATTTCATTTCATATCTTATATGCAGATACACGTTTTTCCAGAATGTTCTACCCACCTCCTCTTCATTTTCCTCCTCTTCTCATCTTTTTCTTCCCCCCCCCCCCTTGTATTCACTGTCAGGGTCAATTCTTCTGAGGGGTGCTGTCCTGGTTTTTTGGCTCCTGGCTTGGAAGAATCACGATGTGACGGAGTGAGGATAGACATGAGCAACTCACACAAGGAGTTTTTGCTGTAGGCCGTTTAGCATGGACTAGAAAGTGGAAGTATATTTTTTGAGGGGAAATGGGTCTATCTCTGTGAGTGGAGAAGACGCTGGGGTCTAACCTCCTTTTTGTTTTTATGTCTGTGTCTTATGATATATTAAATTGTGGGTGGAATATTTATTGTTTTTCTGGGAAAAGGGTAGAGAGTTTTTAGAGCTAAGGGCCCTACCCAATTTTGTCCTTACAGGGAACTTTCAGGGCTTGCCATGACATTTGTAGACTGTCGTGGTGCTGATGGGTGTGAATTTTACTATGTTAGTGTATGTTAATGAAGAAAATGTTCCTTTGAACGTGAGCTCCCAGTTTCTGCGTGTGCTCCTGGCCGGGAGAAGTCCCTAACCTCAAGTTCCTGCTGTTGCAGGTTTGGTTTTAAGTGTTCATTTTTGTCCCCCTCCTCTTTTTCTGTGGTTACTGCTGCCCACCTACACCTGTCCCTAACATTCACTTTGACTAGAACTTGGCATATGACACCACAATGGAATGAGAAGGGGTGGTGTAGAGAGCGGGGCTGGGGTGCAGCTTTCATAGGAGAGAGTCAGCACCGAAATATTTTTCTTTTGTCAACGTCTGTGACCTTGAGTATAGAGTACAGAAGATACACATCTCTGTTCAGATGTACAAAGCCCGATAAATGAGAAAGACCTTTATTAAATTTTCTTCTAATCAACCTCAGTCACACTGTGGCCCGTTATACTAAACCCGTGGGGCATTCAGTCTCAGTGCCAAGTTCCTAGGGCCTTACACACCACCGAGGATCAGGTAGAGCTTGCAGTCACTGGTCATTTGCCCGTGACGGTGCTGTTGGGACACCCATGGCTCCTCTTCAAGTCCAGACATCCCGCTGCTCCCACGCCCTGCAGGCGGCACCTGGAGTCTGGAGTCTTACCTTGTCCACGCCTGCTCCAGGTAGCCACCCCCTCTGCAATCATATCACCTCCCCCTGGGACTGTCACCAAAAGGTTCAGGCTTGGGTCCCACCTTGCACCCTGAGCTGCCAAGGATAAACTCTAGCCACCCACCACCCTGAACTGGAATAATTGGTTAAAGAACTATTTTATTTGTTTTTATTAAGCTTTCTTAAATGTATGTATAGCTCGCATTTATTTTAATGTTTAATATTAGAAGTGTTTTGGTCTTTATTTAAAAGTTTGGTGATGTTATTGTGGACCAGAAATATGAAGTTAACTCTTGTTTATATCAATTAGCCAATGGTAAAATTGGTTTTATTGTACGTCATTTGCTTAGTTGCAGTTTCTAAGCACCCATCAGCATTGTTAAGTGAGGACTTACTTATGATGATATGTCTGTTCAAAGACTTACCTTCAAAAAAGGTTCCAGAAACTCACAGTGTTTTAGGCACATCCATGGAACAGATAATTTCCATATTGTGAGATCTGTTTGAGAAAAAAAAAGAAAAATATAGAAAGTTACCTATTTTATAAAGTTCATCTCTTCTAGAACAAAAGTCTGACAAATAACATTTTTTTAAAAAGCTATAGGTCAATCTCAGTTATGAATTTAGAGGTAAAACTCCTGATTGTAGTGCTGGCTAATGGAATGCAGCAGTACGTTAAAAACCTGTCCAAATAATACATATTAATACAGCGTATCAAAAGGTCAAAAGAAAAAAGTCATCTTGATAAATGCTGAAATAGTTTTCAATAAAATCCAACACCCAGTACTGATGAAAAGTAAAAACTCTTACTAAACTAAAAATAGAAGGATATGCTTTAACAATATGAAGAATATATTTCTTAAACCAACTGTCAACATCATAATTAACTACAAAATGCTGGAAGCAGTTTCATCAAAAAGCAGGGTTAAGAGAAGGATCCTGAAGGGATGCAGTGGCTCATGCCTATAATCCCAGCACTTTGGGAGGCAGAGGCAAAAGGATCACTTGAGGCCAGGAGTTCAAGACCAGCCTGAGCAACAAAGCAAGACCTGGTTTCTACAAAAAATAGAAAAGTTAGCTGGGCGTGGTGGTATGCGCCTATAGTTCCAGCTACTGGGGAGGCTGAGGCAGGAGGATGGCTTGAGCCCAGGAGTTTGAAGTTATAATGAGCTATGATGATGCCACTGCATTCCACCCTGGGCAATAGGGTGAGACTCCATCTCAAAAAAATAAGTAAATAGAACAAAAATTAGAAAATAAAAAACAACACATTTTTATGTAATTTGGAAATTTCTAACTAATGCAATAAGACAATAAAGAGAAGTTTCTGAAAAGCATAACTATGAAAAAGGAAAAAATAAGAATGTAGGATTATTACTAGACAACATGAATTTTACATTAAAGATGCAAACAGTAGACCAAAATAATGATTTCTACTAACAATAAGGATATATGGATATAGATATACAGATATTGTTTCCTATAAAAATTTATAGTGGAAAAAGAGCTCATTGGAAATCACAGCAAAAAATAACGCCTTGAAATAAACTAGCAAGAAAACTACAAAGAGACAAAAAAGAAGAGGTGCATAATGGAAAGATACATTGTGTTGCTGGACTGGAAGATAAGATATTTTAAACATGACCATTGTAAAGTTACTTCCTAGGTTTTAAAAAAATTATATTCAAAATTTCTGTGAGATTTTCTTTGGAACTTAAGAGAATGTCCCTAAAGATCATTTATAAATTTCAGGGGAAAAAAGAATAACTATAAATGAGGACTTTCTTATTAGATAGAAAAATGAATAATCTAATGCTATAATAATTAACACCATATGCCTCTGTGTAAAACTCAATCACAGATTAATGGAACAGAGTAGCCCTAAAATTGACGTGAATATTCATAAAAACCTGTCACTTACAAAAAGATACATCACAAACCAATAAGAAATGGATGGGTAATGCTTAAAATTCCTGTGATTTAGGAAGAAAACTAAGATAGATTATTACCTGATGGTGAATACCTAAATATTTCCCAGATGCATTTACCATTTAAATGTAAGAAGTAAACAAACAAACCGAAAGAAACCAGATGTTATGAACTTAGTTATTTCACAATCTCTGCTTAGAAAAGGACAAAGCATAAAACGTAATAAAAGGAGTTACAAAGAAAAACTGATAGATTTTTGCATAAACATTAGAACCTTCTAGATATTCCAAAGCATTGTTAATAGTTTAAGAGCTGAAGACAAACTAGTTAAAATATTGAGAACAAATGTAAAAAGTTAATATGTTTAATGTAGAAAGAGCTCTTATCATTAGGAAAAGCATTAATACTCCCAGTGGAAAAATGGTCACAAGCTGTTAATTTACTTACAAAAGAAGAAAGGCAGACAGAAAATAAGCATACACATGACAACTCTAGGAATAAAAAAATTACAAATTAAAACAAGTTACTAATTTTTACTCATCAAAATGGCAAGTATGAAAAAACATTTTAACAGTAATTAGAATGTGCTAATTTCATTATTCCCAAACATAATGGTGAGGTGGTGAAGAGTCAACATTTTGAAAAGTGATTTGGCAATACGTAAAAACAAAACAAAACAAAACAAAACACTGAAATAGTTTCTGTCATGGACCCAGTAAACCCGCTTACTAGAACATAGCCTAAGGAAATAATCAGAGCTGGAAAAAAATGTATGTACGTGGCAAGAAATAAAATTGGACAATAAGAGAATGATTAATAAGTAATGACACATTCATATATGGAATATTAACAGCCCTTAAAATTCATTTTTCAAAGAATAACCTTAGCAAACTGCTAGCAATCTAACTACAGAACAAAATATTGCAGACTTGGAATTGGAATACTGTAAATAGGTCAGTTTAATCTTTTAATACGTGAGGTGGTTCACTAACAAGAGCACCTAAACATAGAGTTCTAGAAAAGCCAAGTGACCAGTTGAGTAAGAAGGAGGTGCTCACTCTCCACTCTTCATCCCTTGCTGACTTCGTTCTGTATAAATTAAGAATCTGAATAATATTATTGCAACCTGGTATAGTGCTTCCACACCCAAATATGACAAGACTAGACAAGTGTCATCTCCAGATAAGTCATCTTCGCTGCAGACTGTCTTGAGCCACTGCAAGCTTGCTTGCTATCTCCTCCCGCCAGTTTGTGACCAGACATGTAAGGAATGATGGCTTTTAAAAACTACTGGTCTATTTCACCTGCCCTTGATAGGAATCAAAAACTCCTTTATCTGTATTATAAAGAATGAGCAAAGGACAAGAAAAAAATAAATGTTTCATGTTTAAAATCAGAGAATGTTCTTCTATTCTGTGTTTTTAAAAGGTCTAAGAAAATGACTATGGACAGTCAATAAGTAATTTTTTAAAGTTTGGATCTTTGGGAAAAATGAACGTAAGTTTTCATCTCGGGCTATATATCCAAATATTTTTTCAGATAAATTAAAATCAACATCATTTTGAAAAATAGCCAAGATGCAATTAGGGGCCTTAGATGCCACCCTTGAGTTTTCCTTATTCTCCAGGCAAGCAAGCGTATATTTTTGTCGTTTAACTGTATCCATAGTCCTGTGGACGGTCATACGCAGAAGACGTGCCCACAGTGTTCAGCATGACAGCTCACGGTCCCCAACAAAGATGGCGCTCTCATGTGCTTCTGTCCTGACGCCCTGTTTTGGTGAC